TCGGACGTCCCCTGGTTCCGGCCGTTGTTTATACAGAGTGTTTCACGACTTTAAGGCATAACTGCAGGAGGTGATTTCCTAGGTCTTTGTGATCAAAAAAGTTCATGCAAACATGTGTCCGATTTTGGACGGTTACGGAGTTATGACCGTTTTTTCATTCCCGTACACGCCCTCGTGTGAACAGCGTCTATCATCTGTCGGGTCGCTATTTTTAGCCAGCTACAGACAGAGCATTCTCGTTATCTTGACACTTGAGAGGTACCTAAGGCGTGGTGGGTTGGTATGTCCGGAGGCCACGGCTAGTGTGGCGGCTACTGGTGTTGAGAACAGTTCTCATCTCGGTGCGTCTGTTACGTTCACGATGCCATTTACATTCTCATTTGAGAAGTATGCAGATATGATTTATGTGTACGGGTTTTGTGACGGTAACTTAGTTCTTACCGTATTATGTATTATGCTGGTTTATTATTTTGTTCCGTTCATTGTCAGTAATCGTTACCTTCTATTCTGAGGTTAAAATGGTCATAACTCTGTAACCGTCCAAAATCAGAACTTTTTTAATCACAAAGACCTAGGAAATCACCTCCTGCAGTTATGCCCTAAAGTCGTGAAACACCCTGTATATAAAATGTGCCTATAAATCTTTCGGATAAATAATTTTATTAAAATATTCTTTGTTTATTCAAAATCTAGTAATCCAAACGATTCGTCATTCCGAATAAACGTCTATCTTTTAACTAGTTCAGATTATCCAGGTTACACTGTATTTGAAGAGTCCAAATTATAATTTCCTTAATTATGTAACTACTTCATCCCCTAGTGTGTACTTGTTTGTCCTTTATTGATGTTTTGGAGCTTGAAGTTCATCTAAATTACATACAAAAAAATCCCTACCGCATTGAAAACACATTGCATGTTCATTACAAAAACAAAAAACAGTTACTTTATCTATGACTCTATAGCCCTTGTGAACCTTGGCCGCTTTTTCGGGTTCATAACTTGTACACAGTCGGTAGAACTCCTTGGACAGGAGAACAGCCCGTCGCAAGGCCGCTACCTAATACTAACACAGAATAAACGCACACACACATCCATGCCTCAAGTGGGATTCGAATCCAATATCCCAGTGTTCGAGTGGGAGAAGACGGTTCACGCCTTAAACCGCGAGGTCACTGTGATCGGCACCAGATAATTATTACAGTGTAATCTTTGCTTATTCTAAAGCACAATAGACCACTGTAGGTCGCGGTGCAAGGGCCGAGAAGGCCCACCCCTCATACATTCATTGCTTATTCTAAGAATCATACGAAACACGCATATGCATTCTGCTGGCAAAATGCAGTGGATTTAAATGTTTAAGCAGTTGGTAAGTAAATAAAGTAAAGCTATCCCTGTACCAGGCCTTGGAGGCCCATAGGGTTGTGAGATGTTGAGGTTCCCACATTTTCTTGACAATCGACTCATAGATGGAGATAAGGTTGTCAGCCCTACGCGCCGGCCGCCCTTTACCCCCAAGAATATTCCAAGGATATTCCTGGTACTCATTTCTGTTAGAGACTGAGTCGACCCCTAGGGCCATAGTGAGGCTGGAAGGATTAGGTAAATTGAAAAAATCCAATGACCTCATCGGGATTCGATCCCGCGACCTTCCGGTTTGTAGCATAGTGCCTCAACCAACTACGCTACCGCGTGCCCACGTTTAAGCAGATGGTACTTAAAGTAACCACTGTGATTTAACTCTTTAAAGCACAGTGGCTACTATTTGTTTAGCACCTACTTTAACATTAACAGTGTAGTGGAACCTCGCTTAACGAGCACCTCTCATAACGAGTGATTCGCATAACGAGCAAAACAAATTGTAAGGGGATGATTCGCATAACGAGTGACGAGAGGGGAAGTTCCGGATTGTGCGCTTGCTACATCAGTCTGTGTTTAGCACGCGTTCCGCTAGCATCTTAGTGTCGTTTGTGATCACACATTTTTTCAAACTTGTGTTCAGACATATCATTTGCGATTTTTTGTGCAAAGTTTAATAACCCTTGCAAAAATGTCCCCGAAGAAAAAGCCGCAAAAAGACAGCCATAAGAGAATAAAAATAACCGTAGAAATGAAACGTAAAAATCATTGAAAAGCGAGGAGGTGTGAGCGTGGCTGATCTAGCACGCACATACAATCGGTCTACATCAACGATTTGCACTGTCCTCAAGAACAAGGACAAGATTAAGGAGACAGATGCTTCACAGGGAGTAACAAGAATATCTACGCAACGGTTACGTATTCTCGACGGTGTTGAAAGGTTGCTCCTCATATGGATTTTTTTTTGTTTTCTGCAAATCGAATTCGCATTCCAGGTTGGTTCATTCCGCATAGAAGAAAAGATGAAGATGATTCATGCTCCTTAACAATGTACATATAATTTTCTTTGAATAAACGTTATACATAATTTTTTTAGTATTTTTTTTTTCGGCATGGAACGCATTATCGTGTTTTACATTAATTTATATGGGAAAAAATTGTTTCGCTTAACGAGTAAATTCTGGAACGAATTATGCTCGTTAAGCGAGGTTCCACTATATAAATATTTCGAACGATTCTTAGAACAAACAGCAAGAACCAATTGGTCTTCATAATGCAAACAGTGTTTCCTGTGAGGTACGAACTGAATGTTTAAATAAATTGGTGTTACGAAGGGTTAATGTCAATACCCGAACGCTGCTTGGATACAGATGTTTAGTACATAATCAGAAACACCGGTAGAGTGCAACTGACGGAGTGGATCCAGAAATTTCTTGGCGCCTGACTCCGTCATACAATTGTCACATTTCTGTGAAGGGGACCGAGGAAGACAGAACTATCTGAGCTTCGTGGAAATGCCCTACGCTTCGAGACGTAACAGGAACTAATGAGCAAATACTATATACAAAGAAAACGTAACTAAACCGTTGACATGAGATATTTGTCATAAGGCACCTTACGCATTACTCTGCAACGTCACTCGTGCAGATTTCTCATTGGCTCAGAACGTATCTGCTGATGCTCAGGTGATTCAAGACGTCATGGCAATGACTCCGCGGTTATCTGCCTATATTCCGCTAACCGGTCTCACAGTGGGCCTGTCCCGCCGAGATAAGGGCATGCGTCACGGTTGTCTGTTCATTTCAAGGTCACACAACTCAATTGCCATCTATTTCAGAAACTTAGAAGTTCTGACCTAATACAATAGACGTTCAAAACAGCCGGGATTGGGTATTGGGTATAGCGTCTGGCTACGGGCTAGACGACAAGAGGGGTTGGTGTTCGAGTCCCTGTAGGGTCAAAAATTTTCCCTTCTCCATGTTGCCTCGACTGACTCTGGGGCCCATCTAGCTTCCTATCCAATGGGTACCGGGGACTCCTTCCACGGGAGGTATAGCGGTCGGAGCGTAAAGCTGACCACTCACCTCCAGCTAGTGCCGAAGTCAGGAAAACGTGGGTATATACACTCACTCCCTCAAACGTCTTCATGGTGTAGTTCTTAATTAATTAGTTAGTTAGTTATTTAGAGAGGGTGGGTTTCCCCATGCACCGCGACCAGTGTGATCTATTGTGCTTCCCTCTATGATATTCTACCAGTCTCTTTACCCTACTGATAAATGGTGCGTACCATCAGTCCCGCCGAGCAAGCGAGTTCGGCCACTTGCTTAGCGGTGTCTATAATGCTTACCCCACCTATCAGAGGCCTTAGAGGCTATTGTTGGGTGGGAAACGTCCTGGAATTTGGTTCAGTGATCCCCTTTGCGGATATGAGGTTCTTTTACGTGCCGTAAAGTTACGACACGGGACACACAGCTTAAAGTCCCTCCCGGAGGACTTGTTCCCTGAATTTTTCCGCCCTTAAAAATTCGACGACCTCCGCCGGGTATTTGAACCCGCGTACCACGAGTCATGAGGTGGGAACGTTACCTCTAGACTACGGAGGCCGCTTAGTTAATTAGTTAAGTACAGGGAGAACTTTAGCAATAGGCGTTATTCGCATTAACACGCCAAGAAAGGTATTATTTAGAACAAATCGTGATCCTCTTTGTGGGTTACTCGAAGACGTCGCCAGTAGCGTCGAATGATGGATGAATCCTGAATTCCAAAGGAATTGAAACGAAGCATACTGTCTCAATATTTGCCCAGACAGAGTGGGGAAAATCGCGAAAAACCTCATTCAGGATATCTGGTGCCATGGCTGAAATTCGAACCGAGCACTCCTGAATAAGAGTCTAGAGCGTTACCCCTAAACATTCCTCCTCCATCATTAAATAATTATAATAATATATTATACTCCATCTGCAATGGGAACGGGGGTGCATCATCGTCAGTTAGTGACGTAGACCGTTACGTCATCACTAAGTCACTAGATTCTAGTTTCAGCACACTTCCGGTATACATTCGTCCGTACGAAATTCAGGGATCTATTATCTATATGGTTGCCTACTTAAGATACGACGTAACCAGTCACTGTTATAATTATCCCCGGTTTCGTTGGACGTTAATGTGCTCAGTAGTTCTGTTCCAAAAATAATGCTCCACTATATGAACTGGATTTATCTGGCTCAGGATAGCACCCAGTGCTAGGCTTTGTGAACACGGCAATGGACCTTTCCTAAAAGGCGAGAAATTTTTTATTAGTTTGCCTGAGTGCCTGGTGGCTTCTGAAGGAGGACTCCTATTGTGTTAATTACGAAGCCCTGTCCCCTATAATTCCGGTCTACAAAAACCGAAATTAACGGCCGGAGGTATTCATTGCGCTGGCCAGGCGACACCCTCTGTCCACTAAAGTTGGCACTAACTTCGCCAACAAGCAGCGGTCGCTCGATCTGTATAGTTCGCTTGCGGACTAAAATTACGGAGTTTTTGTTTTGTTTTGTCGCCTATAAATTGTGAGACATTATATTGGTTGAGTTCACTGGCATCAGCGAACACTTTGCGATTCGAACCAATATTTCCTAGAAGAGGAAGTAGATGTAACAAACCTTGTATTGTTGGCTGCTGCGACAGTCGTGACTGCCGTCTCTTTGGCTGTTACGCCGTTATAGTGAACCCGACGCTCCTGCTCGCCGTCGTAGAGAGCGTCCGTGGAGATGAAGTTGTGGATTTTTATGGAATGTCCTCCACCAGCACTCCCACTTACACCATCTTTACTCTCTTCTGTCTGTTGATGATCGTGGTAGTGATAATGATGATTCCCGCCACGTTGCAACATTGGCGTTTCGGCGCCTGACGGCGTTGTTGACGTGGTAGTGCTTGTTGCCGAGACCCGGGCGATGCAAAAACAGACGCATGCCAAAAAGACGGCTGTTATGGTCAACGAACTGATAAACATTCTATTTAATAGACAACAGTTTCAAGTATTTTAGCCCTGCTTTAGTCAACAAACGGTTTTGTTCTTCGACGATTTTCTTAGTACTTGTCTGCTTTTCTCACGCTTAAAATTGTCTTTAATTAAATTAGTTCTTCCAACCAAAAATAAATAAGTCTCCGTTATATATATGTACGGCTATTATCCTTTTGGATATCCTTGAAAGAAACAGTAACCCACTGACAGGCCGCTAACCACGCGGGAATGTTTATAGCGGTGTGCGAGTGGGAAAAGGGCTCAAGTGACCCCGTGAGCGCACACGCGCTTCACTGTTCAAATCGCTTACAGAACACTTAGCTACTTACTCTTTAGCCGGGAGAAACATTACTTCTGCACTCAAAAACCACAGTTAGCTAAAATATTAACATTAACGACACTTCCAACGATAAGAAATTAAAAAAAAAAAGTCCGACGTAGGTTTTACACTCGATACTGGATTACGAGGAAATAGGTACGCGAGGAAAGACCAGACAGAATTCAATGCGTGTAAATCAGTAACTCCGACGACGCCTGCCCGTGCAGCAACCAGCAGTGATAAAGTTGAACTACAAGGAAACGTACAGCGTACTAAGCACAACTTTTAGACTCCGCCCCCTTTCGCCCGCTCCTCAACTGACTCGCGCGGTTTTATCTTATGCTTTCTTATTCGCTGGCGGTCGCTGGTCCATCTGCCTGTTCGGCCTGTTCTATCTTCAGTACCGAACTTGTCCACGTGTGTGGAGCCTCTGTTCTGGCGTGTAAGGTTCGCAGGTGATAGACAGCAACCAGCTTTAATTTCGTCACTCTGAGACTCATCCAGGTTGTTACCTAACCACAATTTTTCTTCCAGGGGTAAAATGGCCGGAGTGTGGTACTGTACTTACATTCCACTGTACCCCTTTTTGGCATGATGTTTAATGGAACACGGAGACAATTTTTAAAGTTTACCCATGGAACAAAAGTTCCCTCCATGTGGAATAAAATTACAATTTCGCTTTCTAATACTAAAAAAAAAAAAATCTAAAAATTGCCTATCACTACAGCTTTGATATTAGGAGAATCGCTGGCCGCGCCATAGCTCAAGCGGCTAGTCGCTGGCTTCCCACCGTCGCGGCCCGGATTCGATCCCGGGTCTGGTCAAGTGGGATTTGTGGTGGACAAAGTGGCGCTGGGAAGGTTTTCTCCGAGTAATTCCGTTTCCCCTGCCAATCTTCATTTCACCAATTGCTCCACAATAACCCTCACCTATCATCTGGGGCTGGTACAATAGGCCAGAAGTGGCCGCAGTACAACGGACTTAGTCCCACCCCACTAGCAATAAAATAATAATAGGAGAACCGTTTAAATGTGAAGAGTTATTATCTTCTGGGATGTGACGCCGTGTAGTTTCGTAGAAGATAACGTTTCGGAGGAAGTTACTGCTTCAATCTTCAGGCTTTATCAATACGCCAAGCAAGAGTCAATCAGTAATCTGCTTTCTGCTCACTAGTTGATTTTTTTAGCTTACTGTTTGATACTGAAAATGGAGGCAGTACGTTCCTCCGAAACGTCGGTAAACTTCTGCCGGACTGCATGGCACCTCATATCAGAAGATAGTAATCTTCGTAGTTACTTCTGTGAGAACCCCAAATCATATTAATATTAATTATATTGAAGGAACATTATTCACGGCGGTCGCGGGTTCAAGTCCCGATGAGGTCGTTGGATTTTTTCAATTGACCTAACCCTTCCAGCCTCACTATGGCTCTGGGGTCGACTCAGCCTCTAATAGAAATGAGTACCAGGAATATTCTTGGAATGTTCTTAGGGGTAAAGGGCTGCCGGCGCGTAAGGCTGACAACCTTACCGCCATCTTTGAGCCGATTGTCTAGAAAATGTGGGAACCTCAACATCTCACAACCCTATGGGCCTTCATGGCCTGGTACAGGGATAGCTTTATGTTTGTTTTTACATTGAAATGAAGGAAAGGCCAGTACTCATAAGTGCTTCATGAGGCAACAGGAGAAAGGCACATAGTTCTTCTGCCTGGCTAGCGATAAATGTTCGAAAATTATTCAGCTCGTGAAACTTAGGGTCTATGCACGGTATCGCAGTTCTAGATTCTTCATTAACCTTTTTACTATCTCGAAAATCGTAAGACTTACGTAAAGAGTATACTGGCCATAAAATGTGACCTTCCTTCTTATCTGTTACGTTTGTTGGAAACGTATTTTTCTCTTCGATAAGTATTTAGCAAATTACGTTTAAGACTAACGCAGAAACGCTTGACCAAGACTCCACACGAAGTGTCCATTGTCTTTATTCAATTTGAACTAAACACTGGAAAATGCCAATATTCTAGTAAAATTCCACAATACCAAATTTCATGAAATTCCATACGTCGAGGCTCGAGTTTTATCTTGTGGACATGCAGACAGAGAGACTTAGGAGCTGCTAAGCGCATCTTTACAGCTTCTCGCTGTTATGTAAAGATGTCCAAGGAGCTGAGTCCTTCTTGATAAACCGCCAGTCGCTCAGGTGCGCAAGAAGTTCCGAACATTATGTGGAACCCAAAAGTTCATTACCGTGTTCACAAGAGCCCGCCACTGATCCCTATCCTGAGCCAGATGAATCCAGTCCATATCACCCCATCTATTTCTCTAAGATAAATTTTAATATTATCATCCCCCTAACGTTTAGGTTTTCCGAGTAGTTTCTTTCATTCTGGCTTTCCTACCAAAATCCTATATGCATTCCTCTTCACTCCCATGCTTACTACATTCCTTTCCTATCGCATCCTCCTTGACTTGATCATTCTAAGCGTATTTGGCGAAGAGTACAAGTTATGAAGCTCCTCATATGCAATTCTCGTTGTTAAAGCGTCAACAGTGAAGTAGAAATATGACAGTCTTTTCCTATGAGAAATTCTGTGTTTGCACACGATAAAGTAAAGGTAGAAAGGGTAAAGTTGTTCCTGTGCGTAACTAATTAAGTACTACGCCATGAAGGCGTATGGGGAGTGGATAAAGGCAAATAAAAGAGGTAAAGTTTTCCATGTGCTTAATTAAGTGAGCTACAATATTCTTGACTTCGGGAATAGATGGAGGTGAGTGGTCAGTTTTACACACCGGCCGCTTTACCCCCGGAGCGAACAGCTCCCCGGTATCCATCCGATAGGAAGCTGGGTGGACCTCAGAGACGATATGAATGTTATGGAGAATAAAAACCTTATCCCCGCGGGGAATTGACTACGGATCATCTAGCCAGTAGCCTGTCGCTATACCGACTGAGCTATCGTGACTTCTGAACACGATAAAAGAGGCAGTATAACAGGCTGTGAACCAGAAGCTGCAGTTTCGAGCACATTACGACCTTTGCAGATAAAACCAATTGACTGCCATAGATGCCAGGAAGAGTCGGGAGTGTCTACAGATCAATAAATGATTTAAGACTGTAATTCAGCGCTCAGACAAAGAAAGTAATTCTCCCCCGCAGAAGTTTGAACCCTGTATCTTATTATGTCAATATTATGTGTTTGTTTTAACACATATTTTACTAGATAAATACAAACAGTCTAAGATAACAAACTACCTACCCATCTCCTTAAAGCATAGATCTTTGTTAGGAACCCTCAGCTAGTAACAGATGCTCTACCATAGTCATTCATTCATTGGTAATCTGTCAAGACGACAAGTCCGCAGTCTCTTCCAAAACCGTTCCTCCACTTAATGCGATCTAGAGCTCATTCCTTCAAATGACAGTATCCTCTTCTGTCCCCAAGGTCATCCAGCATCTTCTTACGTCTTCTTCCTCGTCTTTTGGTCACTTCTATCCGCCCCTCTATCTTTTCTTCAATAACCTCTTTTAGAAGGCAGTTACTGCCTAAGATATGACCAATCTAATTAGCCTTCCGTTTTCTTATTTCATGTAGGATATTCCTCTGCTGACTGACTCTAAATAACACTTCTTCATTTCTCACATAATCGGTTCAACTGATCTTCTCCATCCTTCTCCAACACCACATTTCGAAGCTTTCCAGGTGTTTCTGATCTACTGCTCTAAGTGTCCAAGTTTCAGCCCCATGCAAAGCCATGCTCCAAATGTAGCATTTCACTAGTTTCTTTCTCAAATTTAAGTCCAATTTGCTGGTAAAAAGACTCTTCTTCTTGCTAAATGCAGCTTTTGCCATGGCAATCCTGGATTTAATTTCACTAGTACACCTTCCATCATCTGTTAACAAGCTACACAAATATTTAAAACATTTCACATTCTCCAGTTGTTTTTGGTCTATCTTTATTGTGACTGGGGTTGGTTGTCTCGAAATTTTCATTACTTTTGTTTTTTCCACATTCATTTCCATGCCATAGCACCTTCCAATTTCAATTAGTCTATCAATCATGCCCTGTAGCACAGTTTCTTCCTTAGCCATTAACACAAGGTCATCTGTATATTTCACAGTTTGAATAATTTGCCCTCCTACATTGAAGTCTCCGAGCCCATCCAGAGCTTCCTTGGTAAGGCATTCGCTGTACAAGTTGAACAGAATTGGTGATAAACAGCATCCTTGTCGAACTCCTCTTCCAATCTGCACACTTCTTGTCTCCCCTTTGTCCAGTCGCACTCTAACTTTCTGATCCATGTACTATTTACTAATCAAGCTTCTTTCATGCCAATCGATACCTGTTTCTTTTAGGATCTGCATTAGTTTGGTCCTTGCACAGATTTTCACGAAACTTTGTATGAAGATTACAACGTTGGACCAGTGTCGTACTCTCATATTTCCTACGTTCAGTACTAACATGACGGACTCACGAACTGACGAAGAGGGAGCTGTACGACAAACGTTTAATTTTATGGCCTAAAAGAATTCGTACATTTTATAAAAAATATGCACATCTTATTAAGTTAAGTATTTTGTTGAATTAAGGGTAAGAATATGACTGCTTTGAGGATATGTCCGACAAATTTAACTTAGAATCTATGCCTTAATATGATAAGTTACTTTCGTCTCTCTTATTTAAAGACAAGGTACTAAGGAAAATGTGTGGACCGTATAGGAAGAATACAGAAACTGAACAGTTTCAAATCATGGGGTATGAAATGGTGTGGGCACGTAGCACGCAGGAGAGCAATCTTAAACCCACGCAAGGTATTATTCCGTAAACCAAAAGAGAAGAGTTAAAGTGAGCCATGAATAAATAAAATTAGTACGGGCCATTGCGAATACATTATGTAACTTTTGGGTTGGGGAATTTCTTGACCATATGAGCGACTATCAGCTTCTTAAGAAGTACACTGCCTCACGGATTTAGTCTCGGCTTAGTCTTATCTGTTGTGCTGTCATCTTTTAATGATACACGTTTTCATTTGAAGGAGAATTGGAGTAGACTTATATCCTTTTCTACCTGACTTAGCAAGTTCCACCTCAAGAACATACGATGTGTACGTCATATGCTGGGGAGAGGGGAGGGACCTCCACGTCAGATGTGAGCTGGCGCCGCTCTCACTTACAAAATACTTTAGCTGCACTACGCATGCGCAAAGATTATAATAGTAAGTTGCTCAGGTAGTCAGGTTGATAGTTCAGTGGTGTGACTGCTCTTC